ACTGCCGAAAAAAACCTTTGCACACCCGCTCTTTTACTGCTTGCACTACCACTCCTTTACTCCCTTGAGCAGCCGCCAATCAAGAGAAAAACAAAACTCCAGCCTTGCACTTGCTCAAGCCGCACGAAACCCTAGGGAAGGGTTTTATAAAGCTTGATTTCGGGTGGGCCATCAAGCATGCGGAAAACAAAACGCGGAAGCAAACCGCGTTGCTGAGCACTTAAATCACCCACCCACGTGGGTGGTCCCCACACACACACACCTATGTCGACGCCGACGCTGATCTCCCCCGTCGAAGGCCCATCACTTCTTCCTCTCTTGCGACCGACGCTGATGCAGGTATTTTTGGTACAGTCTCAATTTTGGTATTTTTGGAGTGATTTCTGGTCTCAATGCGACAAAATCTATTCAGATTTCAATTCCGTCTGGGTCTGTTCAGATTTCAATTCCATTGGTTGGCCGTCTGGGTCTGTTCAGATTTCAATTCCATTGGTTGGCCTCTTTCTTGCGTTATTATGCTAATGCTTTACTACTGTGAATTGGGGCGATTTCAATTCCATTGGTTGGCCTCTTTCTTGCGTTATTATGCTAATGCTTTACTACTGTGAATTGGGGCGGACTTGAATTTTTATGCTAACTGCGTTATTATGCTAATGCTTTTCTAGGTTATTATGCTAATTGCGTTATTATGCTAATGCTTTCTTGCGTTATTATGCTAATTGCGTTATTATGCTAATGCTTTTCTGGGTCAAGTGCAAAATCTCATTTTATTGGGTTGTTGCGGTCTGTTTGCTTCTCTTTTTTAAGGGACATTGTATCTGAGTTGCTCTAAAAATCAGCATTTACAGTGTAGAGTGCATAAAGATTGGTAAGTTACTTGAGAATTTATCTTGTAATATTTATTTGTCGTTCATTTGATTTATTTTTTGTGCCCAACTTATGAATGTTTTCCATGAATAGAAAAAGTAACAGCCTTTTACGAGCATTTTGGAGCATTTTAGGAGCATTTTGACTGTAGTTTCCCCAGGTTACTGCAGTTTTGTGTGTATGTTTTGTTCATTAACCTTTGTTATGTCCTTCAGTAAGCTATGGAAATGAATCAGTCCTCCCTCTTTTGGTTCATTGGGCACTGAAACTTTGGTTCCATTTGTTGTGCAGGCGGGCATTGTGAAGAAGGAGCACATCAAAATCCATAGTAGATGAGAAGTCTATGTTCGAAGGACTGATTAGTGCTTGAAGACTGCGTTTTATCTACTTAGCTTTTTATATAGTTGATTTCCTATTTCATGCTTGAACTTGTACTTTGTTATTTCTTACATTTGTGTTCGAAGGACTGATTATGTACTTGTACTTTGTTATTTCTTACATTTGTGTTCGAAGGACTGATTATGTAGTGTTCGAAGGACTGATTATATAGTTGTATTTGTTACTGGTATGAATATCTATGTAGTTGTATTTGTTACTGATTATGTAGTGTTCGAAGGACTGAGCAGTGCGACATTGATATAGTTGCTATTTATATATTGTTTGAAGGACTGATTATGTTGTAATTGTTACTGGTATTTGTTACTGATTATGTTGTTCGAAGGACTGATTTTTGTTCATTAACCTTTGTTGCTTTTTATATATTGGTCGAAGGATTGATTATTTCTTGCATTTCTTGCATCTGTTTGAATATCCGGGTGATTTTCCTCAGTGCATCCACAACTGCAGCTCTTCATTGGTTTGTGAGCCCAATATATTCACAAGAAAAAATGACTGGCTTTGGTAATGTCATGGTAGTTTACAAAATGACTCAAGTTATACAAGCTTATCCTCCCAATTATAAATGCTTCTCCTACTAAAAGCTCAATAACCACCAATAGCTCATTTGTGCTCAGTAGAATTAGTGGACACCATAAAACTCAATCATTGTTGAAACCCATATCAACAAATCTTCAGTTCACAATTATTTATGAACATGTGTGCAACTTTATTTATGTTTACACGAGTGTTTTGTTGTTATGTGTACTGAAAGAACCATGAAATGATCCAAGTTATACAAGCTTATCCTCCCAATTATAAATGCTTCTCCTACTAAAAGCTCAATAACCACCAATAGCTCATTTGTGCTCAGTAGAATTAGTGGACACCATAAAACTCAATCATTGTTGAAACCCATATCAGCAAATCTTCAGTTCACAATTATTTATTAACGTGTGTGCAACTTTATTTATGTTTACACGAGTGTTTTGTTGTTATGTGTATTGAAAGAACCATGAAGAGTGAAAGGAGTTTTCATTTATAATAGAGTGCCAGACAAGTTTAAAGACACGAGCCATATATGCTCCAATACAACCCCACAAGGTACAAATTCAAGCATGAAATAGGAAAGCAACTATATAAAAAGCTAAGTAGATAAAACGCAGTCTTCAAGCACTAATCAGTCCTTCGATGGGAGGCTTCTCAGCTACCATGGATTTTGATGTGCACCTTCTTCACAATGCCCGCCTGCACAACAAATGGAACCAAAGTTTCAGTGCCCAATGAACCAAAAGCAAGTAATCAGTCCATAGCTTACTATAGCTTACTGATAGTATGTTTTCTCAGGACCAACTCATCCAACTCAATTACAATACAAAAATGATGCTGAGAAAACATATGCACAGTACTGCTGGTAAGAAGAAAACTGATATCTTTGTCAAAAAATGTGGAAATCTATTTTCTAGTTCACAATTGGAAGATGAGTACTGCTGGTAAGAATCTTACCTCGTCAAATTAACAATATATTATTGAATTTTCTCAAGGATGGTGAAGAAATATCAAGATCTAAAGAATTGGGCAAATTTATGGTAGCATAATCCGTCAATTCCATTAAGAATTCAAATTGTTGACTAAATTGCCTAGATCCAAAATCGCAGCCTACCAATCGATTCAATATCTCGATCAGAATCTCATATTTCCATCAGATCGCTGGGTATACACAATATTCCCAATCTGATGAACAGATACTCATCTATACGAACAGTATATTGGAAACAAAATCTAGGGTTAATCACTTTTTCAGACATTACCTTATCTCGGCGTCGGCGTCATCGACGACAGCGAGAGGCGGGGGGCGGGAGGAGGAAGAGGCAGAATCACGGCGTCTTCGTCGACAGCGGGAGGCGGGGAGCGGGAGGAGGAAAAGGCAGAAGTGGGCCGTCGTCGTCGAGAGCGGGGGGAGGAGTCTTGTTTCAATGGCGGTGGGAATTTGGGGAGAGAGAGAGATAATTCACGATTGGGGGGGTGGGTTAATCGACAGCTCATTGATGAGCTGGTCCACGCTATGCTAAACACGAGGTTTTTTTTGCAAAATGCCCTCAGAATTGATTATACCCATTGAAACCAGATCTGTGGCTGAGATCTGGCCACATCAGCGTCATAGGAGGAAACTCCCTCCTATGTCAATGACCTCCATTAATCTCATATATATATATATATATATTACTATACTTATTATAATATATATATATATATTATATATATATATGTATACATACATATGTATATGTTATACATACATATGTATATGTATACCATACATATGTATATGTATACATACATTAGTATATGTATACATACATATGTATATGTATACATACATATGTATAAATGTATCATACATATGTATATGTATACATACATATGTATAATACATATGTATAACTACATATGTATATATATGATATATATATATATATATATATATATATATATATATATATATTTATATATATATATATATTATATATATATATATATTATTATATTATATATATATATAATATATATATATATATATATATATATATATATATATATATATACATACATATATATATTAATGTATATGTATAGATAGATATGTATATTATATATATACATACATATATATATATATATTGTATATACATACATATATATATGTATATTTATACATATATATGTATATGTATATATATTAGTGTATATGTATTAATATATGTATATTTATACATATATATTTATATGTATATATATATATATATATTATATATTATATATATATATATATAATATATATATATATATATAAATATATTATATGAATTAAAGGTTGAGATATATAGCAATTTGAAATGTAAGGATTAGATGATATGGCATGTGTCAAAAAACTTTAGAAAAGGAGAAAGATGAGGTGTCATCGTGTGGATGAGTTTTAAAACTTTTTTGGTTTTGTTTTAATGTATATCCTAGTAAAAAGTTCCTATGAAATTATACAAAGAAACAAAAACACAACCCCAACAAAATGTCATAGTTGAAGTAGGTTATCTTAAACAACATGTAGAATATTGTGTGAGAATGAAGATGAGAGAGAATAGAGAGGGGAAGGGGGGGGGGGGAATACGTGTGTGCGTGGCAGCGTGCGCGCGCACATTTCCTATCATAACAACAATAAGCGCCACCATCTCAAGCTTGTTAGGGGGCAATAAAATACTCAAATTGTCCACTTACACATCATCTCAACAGTTTAGAGCACCCAGCATGGGCGTTCTGATATGGTGTGCGCTCAGAGAGACGATAGGGAGGAGAATAATAGAATAGGGGTGGGGTGGGGGGTTGATAAACATTTATTAAGGTAAGAAAATGTTTGGAAAAGACTTAGTGTATATATAGGTGAAATTACAAAATTATCCTAATCCTTTTGAAGGATGCCTCTCGTTCCCCAAATTATTTCCTACCTTTATTTAGTTAGTTGTTAATATACAGTAGATATATTTATTTTGAAAAGTAATTTTTTCCCCTCAATGCAATATCTTTAAAAAAACACGAAAAAGAAAAAGGAAAAATGGCAAATATAAAAATACATCGACAGGGACAGTCCAGCCCACACGCATCCTAATGGGCTGCTTCTCACCAACAGAACAAGGCCCACAAGCACCTCATCAGAACTAACGGTCCAGATGGCTACAACTGATTCCCAAAGCTTTCCTTTTCTTTCCCCGAAATAAGAAGCAAGGAATCCCCTCCATTTCTCCCCTTTTCCCTCTCTTTTCAAACCCTAAAAAGAAAAAGAAAAATCCTAACCCTAGTTCTCCCTGGAGATGAGATGGGAAATGGAGATGTACGAGATCGAATCAGTGATGGAGACGATCTGGGACCTCCACGACAAGATCAGCGACGCAATCCACTCCATCTCTCGATCCCATTTCCTCGATTCTATCAAAACCCTAACCAAGAAGAGGAGGAATCAGTTCGATTCGATGGGAGGAGGAGGAGGAGGAGGAGATGGCGATGAGAAGGGAGGGTTTGTGTTCATGAAGGATTTCAGGGTTGATGATGATGCGGCCATGGCGGAGGCCAGGAGTCTCAATGCGATTAGGACTGCGCTTGAGAGTTTAGAGGACCAGCTCGAGTTCTTTCACGTGAGATATTCTTTCCTTTTTTTTTTTGGTATGTGTTTAATTTGTTCGGAGAAACCTATTTAGTTTATCAAAATCTATTGAGTTGTTGTTGGGGGCTATCCCTTTTCAATTGTTTGAAGAATTAGGGTTAGCTTCACATAAACTCCGTTTAGTTTTGTGATGTGCCCGTTATTACCCTTTAAATTTGATATCTATCAAATTTATCGAAATCTATTAAGTTGCACATAAACTCTATACTATCATGTTGTGCCACTTACTACCCCTTAAGTTGATCCCTTGAAAAGAACACCGGGAGAGATTTGCGGCGGATAGATCCCTGTACTATCAAACTCCGCCTATCATTCCATCGCTGCCCGTGAACAGAAACCATTCAATGGAGAGGAGAGGAGAAGGGCGAGGACAGCGGGTTCGGTTCTAGAGGGCCTATTTGCCAATATCAAATTTAAGGGTAAAAAGTGGCACAGAGTGATAGTAAGGGGGTTTAGGTGCAGTTAGCCCTAATAATTAATAACAGCTTGTTGGTAACAACAGGCCTAGCTATTATTGTTAATGTATAGTATAATGTTCTTTTGCTGCTTATGATGAAATTTCAGCTAAAACCATAACTTTAACCATGTTCCGATAAGATTTTGTTGAAAACATGTGTGTTGAAAGAGAAGGGAATGGGAGTTTAAAATCTTTCAACTTTTTAACCATTTAGTTGGTAACAATAAGTCTTAAGACCCTGTATTGTTTTGGACTATCATTTGTTCAAAATCGACATGAATAATTAATTGCAGTTAGTTGCTAACTTTATTCCTAGCCATTATTTTTATTGGTAATATAACTCTCTTTGCTTACTTATGACAAAATTTCATCTAAAACTATAATTCTAAGCATGTTTTAAGAAGCTTTTCAGGTTTGCATTTCACACTTAATGAGAAAAATGTCGATTGAAAGAGAAGGCAATGGGAGTTCAAAATCTGTTTAACCTCTTAACCATTTACTTGATAACAATTTATAATACATCGTAACAATGTTTTAAAAAGCCTCCGAGCAGCCCGTCCTAGGCCGCCTACCTAGCGCCTAGCACATAGGCGATAGCTAGGCTGCCCACCTAGGTTTTGGGAGCGTGTAGGGGAGCATGGATTGTTTACATAAATTGCACCCTTTACGCCTTGATCTTGATTCCCTTCGTTGTAGCATCCACGTCCTCTAGCCTTTTCCATACTCATCTAGCCTCCAACCTCCTCTATCTCCTACAACCTTTAGCAAAACCTGCTCCATCACCCTTAAACGAGGAAAGAAATCCACCTAGGTGCCAGTCTGGTGCGTAAGCTTATCATAACATTGATATCTACTATCAATTATTGTAATTAAAAAAATAAAATATAGAAAACCTCCTAGGCCCTGCCTAGGCGTCTACACAACTCCTAGACCGTCTAACGCTTTTTGTGACCTTGCATGGTAATGTCTTGATCCTTGATTTGCGGAACCTGCAAGTTTCCTCTAACATGCTCTTTTCCCCCCTTCCTGTTGGACATTGTAACTCTTTCTGACAAGCTATGAGTTGTCTTTGTTTTATCCTTTTTCCCTCACTTTACACAAAGATCTAACCTGGACTACCTACTATCCACCCAACCCGTTAACTACTTGTGCCAGGCTATGAGGACATTGTACTTCAATATCCATTTGTTCAGACATTAGACGGAACATACTAGTTATTTATTTAATTTGGATCATGTGGTAAAATTTTAGCTTTGTGCCATCATCATGAAATAGCTAGAGCAACTTCGAAGGGAAGGACTCAGATTGGTTGTTGTGAGGAATGGACCAGACAGAGATGGCTCAAAACCTTGCTAAATTGCATTCTAGAAAATAATTGCAAACATGTACTTGTATAAGAATAGTTTTGTGCATGGCTCCCATCAGCCGTTCTCTTGTGCATGGCATCATTGGATTTGGGCCGTTTCCTCCAATTTGTGTGAATCAAGTGGGAAAAAACTGCTTGCATTGAAAAAATTTCCATAGTTTCCTCCTTTATTTTTAAAGCATAAAAAACTTATCGTTAACCAGTTTGCTTAACTTTATAGATGGAGCATCTAATACATATTTGCCAGCTTAATCTCCATTCACTGAAGAGGTTGCAATTTAGTCCTATTTTATCATTTATACGGGTAAATTTTGCAGCTTATGTATCCTTGAAAACTTTGGCAGATGAATATTAGTGTATAATACTTTAGAGCTTGTTTACCTACAATGGAAATTGCGAATTTTTTAATGAGAGGTCATGCAATTCTGGTGTTAGCTTTCAACTTGCTAGGCAACTATTTTATAGAATCTGCTTTACACCGTTCTAGTTTCTTAGGAAAACTGAACATCTTAACATCACAGAATCAGAAGTAATTCATGCCTGCATTTGAGGTACATTTTGCATTTCTAAACTGATGGGTAGTAGCTATCTGCAGACTGTTCAATCACAGCAACGGGCTGAACGAGACGCGGCTCTAGCAAGGTTGGAGCAAAGTCGCATCATTCTTGCAATGAGATTAGCTGATCACCAGGGAAAGAAATGCAAAGTGATTGAAGAAGCCTTAGCATTTGTGGGTGATGTGCGTGATGCAAGTCGCTTTGTTTCTCCGGAGAACCTCTTTGACATGCCAAGAGATCAGGCAGGTGAGAACCTGGAGGAACAGAAGGGGGAAAAATTGAGTACCTTGATGCGGATGTTGGTGTCCAGTTTGTCGTTGGCAAAGGATTCACTAAAGATGGAGAAAATTGGAGGAGTGTTAGGCAATGCTGCTCTATTTGCTGTAAGCATGCTTGCTTTTCTGCAGCTACATCAAGTAGCTCTCAGGGCTCCACGGATTGGGGATCAGCAGAGGATTGAGCAGCGAGATGGTTCAGCTCAGACAAGGCATTTTGATGTGTTTTCAGCTCGGGGATAAACTGCGAGCGAGTTGCATGCCGAGGTAAATGAATGTAAATGTTGTTGTTTTTTTTCCTTGAGTTGTTTGGTAGGCGATAGGAGAGATGTACGTCTCTTTTGGTAGGGGTAGTCGTGTTCCTCTTCGTGTTAGTGAATGAAATGTAATCTTCTGGTTCTGTGGGTGTGTTTTTATCAGAACCATCTTTTTTCAATACTCCGGCTTCCTCGTGAGTTGGTTTTGTTGTGGCATCGCATATTACTCTTTGAATTTGTTAAGGGACAATTGTGGATAAACCCCCTTTAGTATCGCCATTGCAGACGTACCCTCGCCCATTGCGGGCATACCCTCCGTAGTATAGACCAACTGTGGATAGACTCCCTATCCCTAAGCGATCTTTTTTACCCAGAGGTTTTTAGGAGTAATGATTCTATGAAAACGCCCTATAAGAAGGAATGATCTTTACCATTTTTGAGTGGTTCGAGGGTTGTTTTGGGAATTACGGTTTCTCTATTTATGGTGTAGATCACCCTACTTCTATAGGGGTGGTTTTGATAGGATCCCTATTGGTTTTATGGAGGCGGATAGATTCCTTGTAGTTCTATCGGTGCAAATATACCTTAGGTTGCTTCTTTTTCTTTTCTCTTTTTTTTCCCCTTTATTTATTTTTTATTTGACTATTGAATGAGTCAAAAAAGTTCACCGGTGAATTATCAGCACTTGGGCTAAAGTACACAAATAGAATTTAGGGGGTCTATACGCAAAGGCAATATGCTAACAATTAACCCTTGAATTTATCAGTTACGGGCACAATACAGGGCATTATATTTATATTTGATTGTTAGGAAACACTGCTAGAGACTTGAGAGTGCATTAGGGCAACATATACGATGCGATATATATATATAAGCTTCCTTGTATTGTACTGAGCATTACTTAAACGGACGGATACGTGGACGTACACCAAACCAGAGTATTTGAAGCCAACAATTATTGCTTCTTCGTATTGATCATGACTCGTGTCATTTACATAAATCCAGTTACAGAAGAATGTGGATGGCTTAAATACGAGGGGGGGTACAATATGGTGGTCACGTGTTAATTGGTGCTGCTTCCCCAGCCGAAGGATGGTGCACGAAAGATGACGTAAGTATTACCCTACAATTAACTAACTTTAATGCTCACGCTCATCCGTACGTAAACGCCTTTACGAGTAGAAAGAGTTGTCTACCATTAGATTTATAGCCTACATAGTAGAATTGGGTGATATGATGAATTATAGGGCCCAAAGGCCTAAGGCTTAATTTGTGGAAGCGGATGCAGGTTTGACCCCTGGCGGGCGGGGCCCAGTGCAACTTTTATGATGTAGCAATCTTTTGGGGAAGAGAATAATAACTAGCATTTGCATAAATTAATCTTTTTTAGGACTTTGCTAACCACTATCTATCCTTATAAGTTATAAGACAATGGTTAAGGAGGAGAAAGACGGACGGATGAGAGAGAGAGAGAGAGAGAGATGAGATCTACTCACCCTCAACTCTCTCTATCTCTCTCTCCTCTTTAACCATTGTCCTAAAGAGTAATGGTTAGCAAAGCCAATCTTCTAAATCAACGAAATGAGTAAATTTGTTTTTTTTTTTAATTTTCAAATGTTTAATGTAATATCCATGGTGAAATTCATGCTTGACCAACTAGAAGAAAGTTAATATGCAGGTCGAGGAATGAATGTGTAGAGAGAGAAGAGAAAGGGAGAGAGGGGGATGGGGGGATCTAAGGACGTACGGAGATAGTGACAAGTGTACGATAGATAAGACACACAATTAGGGAAAGGATCCCCCCTTCATTACTCATCAATTTCCTGTCGGCAGACAAAGATTCTTCTTTGCTCACCGACTATGTCACCCACACCGTCAAAATCAATAAATGTGTGCAACAGATAGGCCGTTGCGCTGCTCATGAGCCCATTTGGTGCATCAAGCCCATGAATACATGTAGAGTATGTTTTACAACTCACTAAAACACGGACCAACGTTAAAACTGATTTAGTTGTGAACTAAAAATAAATAAACAAAACAAAAAATAAACTAAACTAGTTTAAAACTAAACTAATTTAAAAGTCCAAAAATAAAACAAAAATAAATCGGATCATCTGCGATCTAGTTTTTGCCAATCAACAAAACATTCTAATACTGGACCAATTTGAAACTTGGCCCAATATTAAAGACTAAAGAGTTGCCAAACACACTCACATGATATGTATTTTTTTCGACAAAAAAAAGGTGTATATTTTGGATCGCATAATAAATACTAAATTTCAGGAAAAAAAATCCTCTTAACTTTGGACAATTATTAGATAACCTAGTAGCTTTCATAATATGATAGACTCCCTTAAGTTTAGGGCTATTAGAAAACCCTCTTCAAATTTAGGATTTTTTTTTCATAAAACCCCCTCAATATTGTTATGAGTGAGTAAACTTATACAAGAGGATATTTTTGCCATTGAAAATTATGGTTCATGACTTTAAGGAGGGGAGAGGCCGGTGGTTCAAAAGTATTGACAGTTGAAGTGGGATTTCTAATAACCCCCTTAACTTAATGGGGATTTTATGATATTTTGGAAGTTATGGGGAAAAAAAAAAAAGAAATAAAAGAAAAGGAAGAAAGAAACTTAAGTTGCGTGTCAAGCAGCTGGTTTGTAGGAGTTATACAATGGAGGATGAAGTGGATGGCATCCTACTTCCAAGAAGGGATAAGAGAATGGACCACTCTTGTAAGCTTGTGATGTATAATAGCTTCAGAGATAAATCACCTGAGCTCACCTGACGCACAAAATCTCATCCTCAACGCTCATCATTGTTTTGATTAATTGCGTGTAAGTCCTCTGCGCTATCACATTAGAGCCACTTGTTATCCTTTAAGTTTGATATTAATAAATAAATTCTCTGAAACTGAACAGATCACCGTTGTCATCGCTCTCCCCGCCTCCTCATTGGCATATAATGCGCTATTTTCAGTGACGTTATGTTAAAATTGAGCAGAAGATGAGGAAGTGAGGGCCAAAGTATGATATTGTTAGGACGTAGTCCATACAATATCTCTTGTTTGAGTAATAATAAACTCTCATTGGATATCAATATTTATTTAAGAAGATATAGTGTAAGCAAATATAGGTAAAAAGGGTATACAAGGTGAAACAACGTAAAAATCAGCTCAAAAGCTGATTAAACACTTCTACCATCAAGGTAGAATTTGACCATTGATGGTGAGAAGGTGCTCATCGATGGTCAACATATGTCATCGATGATTTTGACTCCATAGACTTTCATATCATTGAAGGCTTATCAGCCATCGATGGGCTCTCAACACCATCGATGGTTGAGAGGCACCATCGATGGTAAAGTCGGCTAATTGCATTTCAAATTATATCGCAACATTGTTTATAGTATCTCTTATCTCTATCATGTTTAGGATATCTCTTTCCTGACCTATTGGGTTGTCTATATCATTAAAAGAGAGAGAAAAGAGGAGTTCTAGGATTTGATTTGCGAGAGATCAAGTTGAAGATTTTGACCACCGGAGCCTCGTCAAATTCTCACTCGTCGCGCACAATATCTCCGGGTTGTTTCAGCCAGGAGATTTGTCCTTATATTCATCGAGCTATGTTTCTATCCTTCGGGAGTGGCGGTTTGGTTTAAAAAAAGAGCTGTAATATTTGTCTTGTATTCCAAGCTTAATTATTACTATTGAGTTTTGCTTTGAACTTCTTTGAAGGTGTATTTAAGCCGGTAAAATTGAGGGTTAGGACTAGCTAGGGGTAGGGGTTACTTATTGTGAGAATTATGTTAGACGACCGATTCAAGGTAGATTTTAGGGTGCAGTCTTGTAAGCCTATTGAATCGGGTTTGTGATTTAGGTGATCTCTTTGCATAGTGAAGAAGCACATTCGTGAGCAGGAAGAGTGGATATAAGATTGTGATCCGAACCACTACAAAATCTCATGTGTTCCTAGTTGATTGCTTTTGGTGTTCTATTATATTGTTTTATACCGTTTATCGCTTTTGTTTTATATATTCCACTACATATTCTGTATTTTTGGCAAGAAGCGACAGCTATCCTATTCATCCCTCCCCTACCTCCTAGGCTTGCATTTCAGAACAATAAGATTGTTAAAACATTGTTCATACAATATCTCTTATTTGAGTAATATAACAAACTCTCATTTGTTATTGATGATTGTTTGAGATGATATATTTCATGTATGAACATGTATACAAGAGATATAAGGCAAAACGATGTAAAAATCAACATGAATGTTGATTTTTAGTATTCACGGCATCGATGGTCACGGGGCAACCATCAATGGTTATTAGTCAATTCATGGATTACAATGCACAATTGAAGAAAAACAAAAATAGAATTTAGCATCATCGATGGACTACATGGACCCATTGATGGTCAGCTATAACAACTATGTGGTCCATTGATGGACTACAGGTAACCATCGATGGTGAGCAGGGGATCAATGATGGTCGTGCTTTATCATTAATGGCGGTGACGCTGCTTAGTAGATTTAGTATTTAATCTCAACCGTTCATCAATCTCTTCCATCTCTAACTTCTACTATGACTCTTATATCATTTTCTTTTATTATCAAGATTATGTAAGATAGAAAGAGATCACATTTTAGAGAGGTTCATGCCTTGAGAAAATAGAGAGATTTATTCTAGGGTTTTGAAAGAGAAGTTAATTTTTTATTTCAATCCACGGAGCCTCATCACTCTCTGTCTTGTCGTGCTCAGAATTTAAGGTTCATCTCAGTGAGGAGAGTTTCCCTTCGTGTTCAATATCATCACCACTTCTTCATCGATCTTTACTTATATCTTCTGAAAACGGTTTGCTTAAAAGTGCTGTAAGATTCTTTTTAATTTTCACATAAATAGTTTGGTTGGTTTGTTCTTTATTTTATTTTTATGGCGTACTCAAGCCAATGATAATTGAGGGTTTGAACTAAATAGGTCTAAATGTTTAGTTATATGTTAGGAGTTTGGTTAGACGACTAATTTCGGGTAAATTTTAGGGTACATTCTTTGTAAGCTTACTAAATCGGGTTATGATTTAGGTGAACTCTGGTCATAGTGAGGAGCGTCCTTTGTAAGAAGAAAGAGTGGACTTAGAAAACCACTATAAAAATCTTGCATATTCTCTAGTTTAGTTTTTTTTTTAATTTTATTAT